TCTTTTCAGAAAGGAAAAAGGCAAAGCAAGGTGTACATCTTTAAGGCCAAAGAGCAGTGCCTCTCTGACAAGGACTGGGCTGAGAGCACTATTTCCTGGAACTTCATCCTCTGCTTCCAGAAAGAGATGCAAGTCTGATAATGCATTTTGGTTACAACTTTTATGTTTTCTGATGACTGAATAATGTAAAAAAAGTATTTTACTGGCCTTTTTGTGTTAGACACTGAATGTACCCAAGTTGATTTTGGTGCCTGTATTCTAAGGTTGCATTTTGTGCACTTAGCTGTGTAAGCCCTGCACTAACCTGGAGTTCTGCGTGGCTCGGGGTTTTTGAAGAAGGTTAATTTCAAAGTTCACACAGAGTTCTTTGCCTTTGACAGGTGGCAAGGATAGTAGAAGTTTCTGAAGAGATGAGAAGGAATATGGGAGGGAACTCTGGTCTTGAACTGATTACCTTGCCTTACGGACATCAGCTGCGCCTTGACCTCATTGAAAGGTAAATGTTCCTGTTACTCATTTCCAGGGCAGATGGCCAGAAGCTCAGAGCATGGCTGCACTGTGCTCCTCATTTCCTCAAAGAATGCTCTCCTGCATGTTTCCTGAATTCACATGTACAGATTATTTAGTGAGATGGCATGTAACTTCTTTTTGCATAGGAAATTCCTGAAGGTCATAAGGCAACTCCACACATATCGTACAGGGAAAGAAAGGGGAATGGCATTGAAAGCAGGGTCCTTGGAGCAGCTCAGTGCCATCAGCTCCCCTTCACGAGCTCAAGTATTAACTAAAATTCAGGAATCTATCTGAGCGTGTAAGTGTGTGAGGAGTAGACTGAAAGGTAGCAGCCTTCTGCAACTGGGTAGACATCAGAGGGTCTAATAAAGTAAAAAATGATCAGCAAAGCTTTCTGTAAAACCTGTGCACAAGTTAAGGGGGAACTCTTGGGATATTCTAAGCCTGATGTACAACTTCTGCTTCATATTTTGGTAGTTTGATTGCTGAAATCTAGGAGGGAATGTCACAGGATTTGAGTGTGGAGGACAAAGAGAATTAGGGCAGTTTTCCCAAAAGTGTTCATTCATTCATTGCTTGAGCAGAATTTTGTGTAGTTCCTAGTATTTTAGGAGAATTTATTAAAATATTAATATAAAGCTTTTGTGTATATATTCCATATGATGTCACTGATGCTTTAGATGCAAAGATGTTGGTAAGACTTCAGTTTGCTGGGCACACCAAGGTAGAAATATACCTTTGAACTGATCTTTAAACACTTGCAAATTTCATAATTTGTAACCAGTCATATAAATTGATCCACTTACAGGCACAATACCATGGCAATAGGAATAGCTGTGGATATCTTGGGTTGCACAGGAAACGTAGAAGATAGAGCAGCAACATTAAACAGGATCATCCAAGTTGCTGTGGAGCTGAAGGATTCCCTGGGGGATTTATATGCATTTTCTGCCATTATGAAAGCACTGGAAATGCCACAGGTAAAAATCTGTTTCTCTTTATGTTCCAAAATGTGGAGTTGTTTGATGGGTTTATTTAATTTAAGCAGCTTCTTCAAGACTAGAGAGATTATCAGAACAGAGTCTTCATGACTATTCTACGATTCTATGACTAACAGTGTACTTTTTCTGTGGAGTTACTAATGGGTATTCCCTATTTTGTTTGAACAGATCAGTAGATTAGAACAAACCTGGACTGCTCTAAGACATCGTTACACCCAGACTGCCATTATGTATGAGAAACAGCTGAAACCATCTTGCAAAGCTTTGCATGAAGGACAGGATGAGTGGAATAGTGAGTATGGGACACTGGTTTCTCTTCAGCCTTTTACCTCTCCCACTACTGACTTCCTGTGGAGGGAGATGAGGCAGCTGCTCCTTCCACAGCTGTGCATTGTACGTTAAAATGACTGTGTAAACTTGTATAATGCAGTATGACAAGGAAACAGAAGCTAACAGTCTGCCAACCAAACATCAGTATGTGTTTGTGTGCCTGTATCCCTGAAGAATATAACATTCTTCACACACCCATACTTCCTCTTTGTGGACAGAAACTGAAACACTGCATCATCTTCCCTCAAAGACAAGAAAAGATCTCCTTCCTCACAGGAGAGTTAATTTTGGCAGGTTTTGCTTTTTAGTTGTTTGCCTGTTGGATCAGAAGATGAATCCTCAAATAGGAAGAATCAGCTAGGCAATTACTCTGGTCACTTTAAGTGCTTCTGCACCCAATTCTTTGCAGTTCTAGTTTTTAAAGGGGTGCAAGGCAGAGAAAAACATTTCTACAAGAGAATGGGTAGACAGTGAGAACTTTTTAGCCCCATGGAATGTATTGGAATGACCTGGAATTTGAAAATGTTTTAAAATATCTGTTTTTAAAAATATGTGCATAAAATCTCTGTGCTGCTCTGTAGTAATTCAGCAGAGCCTTCTCCTGTAGCAAATACAGCTTTCCGTTGCTAATTTGTCTTGGTCTTCTCCCCCAGCCAGTTCACTGGAAACTGGTAGGACAGGTATATCTGAGGTAAGGTGATAATTTGAAAGATGGAAGACAAACAGTAGTTTCCACCTTAAAAGAAGAATTCTGGTAGTTACAATACTTTCTCCAACAGGCAGGCTTTAATGTCTGATGCTCTGTTTGTTACTCTCTATCCCAGAGACCATCGGTGCTCCACAGGACAACATAACAGTGCCACTGCTGCTGCCTCTCCTTACGCTGATGGAGCGCCAAGCGGTTGTTTTTGAGGGCACAGAGCTGTGGGAGAGCACTGACCAGAGCGGTGAGACGATGCTGCGGCACTTGGGCGCCGCTCGGGCCATCGCGCAGGACGCGCAGCGGTACCGCCACGCCGCTGAGCAGGCGCTGCAAGGTAAGAGAAGCTGCTGCTCGGCAACACCAGGGGCTGTGTCTGCATCGGGGCCACCACCAGGCTGTGAGAAATTCCTCTCCTCTCTGACAGGAGCTGAGATAGCAGCAAATGTCCTGCAGGAAACTCAGCCTGAGGACAACATCAATATTGTTTAAAAGCAGCCAGTAAATTATTCATCACTGTAGTTCTCCAATAAGCATCTTTGCTAAACATACTCAAAGTTCACATGACTTAATATGCTGACCCTTCTAGCAACTGGAGTACAGTAAGGACTGAGGATCACTTCCTGTCTTCTGTACAATTTAGAATTCCTGCTCTGATTATTGCAAATAAAACACCACCCGTGATAACAAGGTTCTTTACAGCAGTGCAAGATGCAACACTGAAATCCTGACCGCTTACAGCATGTTAGTTAGGTTGTTTTGGTTTCTTTTTTTAAACAGTGGAAAAGTTAAGGGAGTGGAGAAAAATATAACGATTTCTGCAGGCAGCATGTATGCATCAGTAATGATATTTAAGGTCAGGCTATAATGACAATTCTAGACCATTAGAACTGAGCCAAGATAGCCTGTCTCAGTGTCCCTAGAGCCATCTGCGTGCTACTAGAATGTCAAAGATGGAAAGGATTTGCACTGTTTTACTAGCTTGTTAAAATCATTGTGCAAAAGGAATGCAGCACATTAAAGCTTATTTGGGGAGAATACAGTTTAAAAGCCATTTTTAAAGAATAAAAAGCATTTGCCTGATGGTGGTATTGTGGGATTCTTTTTACTTACTAGGTTTCCAGCCAGATGAAGAGCTGAGTGAAATCTTCAAGACAGAATTTCAAATGAGATTGCTCTGGGGCAGCAAAGGAGCACAAGTTAATCAAAGTGAAAGATATGAGAAATTCAACCAGATTTTAACTGCACTTTCCCGAAAACTGGAACCTCCTGTAGTGAAGCTGGTGGAACAATTAAGTATATAAGACTCTGTAAACACTACTTAAATTTATTTACTTGAAATAACCTTAGTGTTCTTCTGGCAATATGATACTGCACAAACCTCTTGCATTTCACAAGATGTTTAGAACTTTTAATGCACAATGCACACTTGTTTTAAAACTACTGATTTCTAAACAAATTATTTATTTACTGTGACACCAAGTCATTTAATGATCCCTTTGAACAGTTGGTTATCCCTTTATTTCCCCAGAGTTGCAATGTTTTAATGATGCCAATGAGTAAGGGCATTGGCATCTTAGTATTAAGATGAAGCAAACAGTGTAAATAAAATGATAGATTAAGTATCTGACATGGCAGAAAAACTGTTGTATAATATTCCTTTAATGAATATAAAACACTGTAAATAGAACTGTGATTGAAGTGTATCTTTATGCAAAATAATTTGCATATTTACAGATCACAGAAATACTGCAGGTTGCAGAAATGATCCTTTATCTGTGACCACAAGAGAAGGCTCAAATGTCACGGTGCCTGTGAAAGTAGAAAATGAGTTTTTCTATGTGTTGGGACAACTTATGTTTTCTTTAAGACAGCATCTGTAGTGCTTTGGCTTTTGCTGGAGCCTGCACAACAGCCACGCTGCCAGGAATGAATGATGAAATGGCAAGAACAAACAATCCAGATAATTAAAATGCTTTCAGACATGAGTAAGTGTGGGTGTATGTATGTATTAAACTTACTTCATTTACTGAGCTGAATGACTTTGCCTTCATCCAAGGAAAAAGAAAAATTACTTACCAAAGTAGAAGATGGTGTTAGTGTTTTTTACAGGAAATCAGCATGCACAGTATTTGTTATATAAAGAGTGTTTCAGCAACACATTCCACTTTGTCACATACAGAATTGGTATAAGCACTATCCTCAGAATTTATACAACTAAGTAAGAACTACAGTTAGAGCTGCATGTGCTGCTTGTTGTCAGTAAGTCTGTTTCTGGAGTGAGATGTTACTTAGAGCATTTGAAAGTATTTGAGTATGGTAACAACAGAACCACCAAAACGCGTTCCCCCTATCCACACTCACCACAGAGGTTTCTACCACCACAGCGAGAGTTTACAGACCTTACACTGAAAGTCTCCCTGTCAATCTTAACAAAAGACAAATGGGGAAGCTAATTACTTAGACCATGAAAAGATTTTTTTATTCCATGAAAATATTCTCAACAGAGAACACTATTTTTAAACAAAGCATTTAACATTTAGGAAATCAATGTGTGCACAAAAAAGGATTAAAAAATTACTGGAAAATGTCAGATTCTTTAAGACAACTCACATTCAGAATTTTAGAATAAGTGATTTATAACTAGCTGTGCAAGTACAAATGTTTTTTCCTATGTTTAATAACCCTCACACAAGTTGCACTATCCATCTTGAAAGCAACCTGCCTCCAAAGGAAGCAAATCCTGGTTTTAGGAAAACAAACAGTAGCGTGAAGAGAACATTTAGTCCTTTACCAGGAAGCGTTATTACTGACCTGCAAGGCTGTTAGCCAGGCAGACCACAGGCCCTTTAGCAGAAAATACACAGATCACATTTCCTCCTTTTCACAGAATTACAGAATCACAGAATATTCTGAGTTGGAAGGGACCCACAAGGATCATCATGTTTTCTCTAACTTTAAAATAAAAAAGCACTAGATTTAAAAAAAAGAAAAACAAACAAAAAAAACCCAACCCCGAGCCCAACAAACCCCCCAAAAACCCCAAACCCAAAAAACTACCTAAGTAGTTTTGTCAGTATTGAGTAATGTCACATTATTATATAAATAACCCTGTATACAAGCTCCAAAAATCTAAACTTTAGAGTTTAATAGGCCCCATAGTACACTAGGTCAAGCTGTGTAATAGTGGTATACATAACAAAAGGAATAAACCTCTACACAAGTCACTCAAATTCAGTTTTACTGGTAGTACAGTTTCTAATAACACTGAAATGAAACAGAATCCAGCACTGCTGCATCCAAATATTGCTTCAGACCCCAGAAAAACAGGATGTTTTAATTATTATTTCATAATATGCTGCTGAACAGCAGGTGGCTGGGTTGACAAGCTTTCTTTGATACAAGTATCCCTCCCCCCAACATCTCTAGTCTAATTCTTATCACCTTAATCAATCAGATATGATGTATGTATTAATAGAACCACAAATGGGAGGCAAGACAACATAAGCAATAGGGGCACTGCAGACAACTATATTTACACGTATAAACATATCCAAATTTCAATTGTTTACAAGTAAAAGTGCACATAGATCATTAACGAAGTATCACTCAAATTTCAACTGGTCCGTACAATGAAGCATCATCACCTGGAAATGGACTAGCACTGCAGTAATTCAACTTGGAACTTCATAGTGAAAAACTAAAAGACAGTTTCCATAAAAATCTTTTAAAAAAATATTAAAGTCAAATGAAGAGATACACATTTCAATGTATAAAATTCATGAGATACACATTTCAATGTATAAAATTCACGATGCACCATGTATCCAGTAAAGTAGAGCTCTAGAAAACACCTACCGTGGCTACCTCAGCAGCTGCAGCACTGTGGAAAGAGCTGAGACACAAAGCCCTTGTGGGATACTGTAAGTGGTAGTGTTGGCAAACAGCAGATTTTAGGCACTCTAGTTTAAGGCAGCATTTGAATGGCAAGTGGTTGACTTCTGAAAACAGTCATTAGCTCGCAGTGGTGAATCCTCTGGTTGTGTTCCAGGTTTTCAGTGCTCACAGGTTACTGAAGGGCTGAAGATGGACCACAGGTCTAGGAGTTTCTCTTGATTGCATTGTAGGCTAGAGCTGAGATGTATTAGTTCCCCAAATTAACAAAATACATTACGGTCTCTTATCAGTTATGCCAAAAATCTGGAATGTAATGATGGTTGCAGTGGTATTGTTATAGCAGCATACATGGATACTGGGATGAAACTCTAGTGCTGAAGATATTTAAAGAAAATGATTTGTTACAAAATAAGACAAGCAGTGATGGCAAAGTGTTACACAGAACATGCCTGACTGTCCTAGGCATGCAGGAGGAGGTTAACGGCGAGCATGGAGGTGGCACAGGCAGACTGAAAACTGACATGGTTCTAAATGGCTGCCAATTAAAATGAGTTGGAAAAGAGCGTAATTGAGAAATCAAAACATCGCACAAGCTAAAATATAGTTTGTGCACCTGGGACAACCTAGGACAATGAAAATAAAGCAATTTTAGGAGCAGTAGCCTTTTTACTCTGGTAATGGAACTCTATTTTCCTGCACGAATTGAAGATTCTGTAATACATCCTTACCTATATATGGAGATGCTAAGATGTTAGTGACTAAATGTATGTCTGCATGCAGTCATGCAACTAGCTTTTACCCTTGGGCCTCCCAGTCTAGTACCCCTCCCCTCCCCCCCCCTCCCCCCCAGCAGCTGCATGTAACCTCCTTCAAGATCTCGCCCATTTTCTCAGAAACCCGCTTCAGGAACCTGCAGTCCAAGAGGAAAAAGAAAAGAACAAAGTTACTGAAGGCCTTTAGAAGACAGAGAAGCGTGCTCAGTTCTAACAGGCCATTCTCAGTGGCTACACATCAGCCTTGTACTTAATTCCACAAACTCTCAGTAGAAATACGAGTTACAGTTTTTAGATAAGTGTCTTTTTTTTTATAAAGTAATCAAGTAGTGCAATGCAGTTTCCAATCCTCAGTGATTTAACAATGAGGAGAATTATTGTACATTTAAGACCTTGATTTCAAACTAAACACGATACAATTCAAAGAGTTAGTTTACAGGCACAGATTAAGAATATAAAATCAATCCCTTATCAGGAGCAGAGAGAGGTTCAGTAAGACATCAAGCATTACATGTGGTCTCTTTTTTGTTTGTTCAAGGTATCTAGAGTTAAAACAATGAAGCTGTGACCAATACAGAACATTCTACATTACAAGTACTGAAAAGGAAGGAGACAGGCAGGTCAGCGAACTTTCTGTCCTTCTTAATCGTAATGTTTTTTCCTGAGTATTTTTGTTGAACTTTCAGAATCAGAAAACATTTTCCTGTTTAAGAAGTGAAAGCTGCCAAGTATTTGCAAGGAAGGAAATTAATAATTTTCAGTAACTGAGTTCAGATAGTTATTAGAGGAAAAAGCCCTCTGTTTTAAGCATATAATTTAAGTTATAAAAGTGGGAACAGTAAATCTTAAAAATCTTTAAAACTTAAGTATTTTTTCAGTTCTCTGTAAAAGTATTCTACAGAACAAGCAGGAATCCTGGTCCAATCCATAGCTAAACTGGATTTAGTGCTTTGTAAAGCAGGAACTCTAGATCAGTTAAACAAAGCAGAAGATGTTGGTCAGAATTACAGACCAGTATAAGATGCATAATTTACTGTGGTTATCTCTGAAAAGAACTATAGCAAACTCCCAATGCAAACAACTGATCATTGCTGACTTCTGAAATTTTAATTCTTTCCATGAACCTGTGTAACTTACTATTTATCCACTATTTTCCCTGGGGAATGTACAACTGAAAGCTGCCAGTTTACTGTTAGATATAGGTTACTGCACCTTTGCTGTTTTTCTCTAGCGTTACATCTATATATGATGTGGGCACATAGCCTTCCTCTCCATTATGTCTTCGAGCTCTTGTCCACCCATCTCCTTTGTCCTCCTCAATAATGTACAAAATTTCCCCTTCTTTCATTGCTAGAGTGCCTTCATTATGACCTGGGAAAAACAAGAGGCAAAGAAGTCTCAGTGTTCAGGCAGAATTTCAAGTCATCTTTTTCCCAGGGCGCAGTTTTCAAATTATATATAAACAGGAAGAACAAAAAATCTGTTCAAGAGAACATATGGCCAAACAGACTTACAGAAAAGAACCTAGTCCAATTTGTAAAGCTGACCATTTGCCAATAGCTGTGCTAATATTTATCTTAAAACAGCACAAATGTACTGCTTATGAGTTACAGTAATTCATAAAGTATTTTCACTGATCTTGTAAGCAACTGGTTGCTCATACCGTTAATTTACTTTAAATCATTTTACCTGTCTTCTCCATAACAACTAATCCATGCCTTATAATAAGCCAAGGAGTCACAGTGCACGTTTTTAACCTTACCATCAAATGGATATATAGCCTTGCAATGTCCTATAGCTGGCAATGGATCATCATCTTCAAACTCATCGTCAAACTCATTCGGATGAGCGTGCTGCTGTGGTGGGCTGCGAACTTCCTGATTGGCATCATCCGTGTAGCTCCCTTCAGGGCTGGAAGGCAATGATGGGAGCATGAGGACTCTCACGAGTTCTAAGCTCTACGACTCAGAACATGTGTTCATCACCAGAGGTGATTTTCTGAAAAAACTGACCTAGCAAAAGCTTAGACTGAATTCTGCTACGAAAACAAACATAAATTTGACATACTTGTCTCTGCAGAACATGGAAAACGAGCGTGAGCCTTAAGCAATAGAGTAAGAGAGCTTTAAAAGGCACTGCTATTTATTGAGCAGGTGTTTTTATATGTTACCATAATGGCATGAAGTGACCTCTCAAAGTCAGAACCAGCAAGATTTTCCTTTAGAAGGACACAGACTTTCAGAGGGTAAGTAACAACCATCACCTCCTGTTAACTACCAGAGAGAGATGTACTGATTCTGGCTAAGACATAATAGCAGTAGAGACAGAATAGTGACCTCTCTCGGCCCTGTGTTACAAGGTGGTTGATATCGCTGCTGTGCCGTCTGTCACTTCTGGCTGCCACTTTGCCTTCAACTTCAGAGAGCCAGGCCTTGGGGGAGAAAAGACAAATACTGGTGTCAAAGAAAACTGGATTCTACACCAGGAAATGTAACAAATGCACTTCAGTGCATACAGTCCACGACCACAGAGAGATTGCATGCAGATGTCAAGCCTCATAATTACTTCACATGAAGCATGAACTTATACTTAGCCTATACTCCATACTAGTCTTAAGGAAAAAAATAGTCTTCATCATATATGAATTTCTGAATAACTGAATAATAATACGTTCCCCTGAACAGTTTACATCTTTAATAACATACATCCTATTCTAGCTAGATGAACACACTTGAAAATACGGCATCCCACAAAAAACACTATCAGGAGCATTTTCTTAAGCAGTTTTTCTGGGTGCTACATTTAAAAGCTGTAAGGCAAAGTACAATTGTACCAATCCTTTACATTTTCCAAGGAACTCTATTTTAAATAGAGTCTAACCTCATTCTTGTGTATTTCCATCCGAAGACGGTCCATGTTGCTCATAGTCTCAGTTAATTTTGGTTGCAAACTGCTTGGATCACCCATTTGGGGATTCTTCTCATAAACATCCTTCATCTTGATGAGGGCATCTCTAAAAACATTCAAAACACAACAATAATTATGAAAATTACATACATCAGTACCGATTCAATAAAGCTAAAATAATGTGTGTGAGATCCAGACCTGTGATTAGATGCCAAGCACAGAGATGAGGAACAAAGTCCCCCACACCTTGCCTAAATCCTTCTCCCATTCTGTCATCTTAGCACTTTGCCTTCCTTTCTTGTGCTGGGTACAGGCACACAAGGACTCCAACTGTTGACTCTTCTCTATCCAGTCTCAGTGCTGTTTCCCATATTGTTTGTTACAGATAATTTCCTAATTATTAGTAACATTCTTAAGGCACCAAGTGGCAGCTCACTTGCTGAACAGACCTATGCATTTTTTTAATGCATGATTTTAGAGCCAATGTTTCCTATGCAGTATTAGGATCAAAATGAGTAACACAATAAAGCAAAAGGAAGCAATGGTAAGAGAACCTACATACAACAAGGTATGAACTTTAAAATGCTTGTGAACAGCCTGGCCTGGTAGATTGTCTCCTGGCTTTTGAGCACTGTTGCCTTAGGTAGAGGACTCCAAAAGAAACACGGTGAGAGAACCATGACAGAGTTCCACAAAAATGCACTCACTTTTGGTCTGTTTCTTTCTGTAGCTCTCTGTTAAGCTCATCAATCCTCTGCTGCAGTTTCTTGCGCCTTTGTTCTGGAGGGAGATGGCTGAAGTCTTCTAGTGCAGGGCCCTGCAAGCAGAAGTACCATGAAACAAGTTACAGGCACATATCTGGGCAGCTGAAGTGACATATCCACACATGGACAGTGTTCACTGGAAGCAGGATGGACCTTCTTAAAAACTCTACTCGACAAACAGCTCTACAGAAGACCGCGACAGAATAAATGCACGTTCCTGCTGCCAGTGTAGTCACTCATTCAAGGTTCTTTCTGCCTTCTGTAAGTTGGCTCACAGGGGTAATTCAAAATTTGTAGATTAATTATTTTTTTGAAAGGCTGAGTCATGTACCTCCTGTTACATCCACTGCACTCAAAGCAGATTTAGAAAGGACAGAATTCATTACTACAGAATTATTTCAGAACAATAACCTAAGATGTATATACAATAATGGTAGGTAGGTATCATTGTTTCTTTATCTGGAGTGTGTTCTATAGTGATTTGGATGGTACCAAAAGAAAAATACTATATTTTGGATCTTCATTCCAAAGTTCTATTACAATTCTCTTCCAGAATTTCAGCAATCCTAGAAAACATATTAAAACTTACAAAGTTCTGATGGATTTTACCTAGAGTAAAACTAGTTCATGGAGCACAGAAAAAGCCTTTCTAATATCAAAACTTTAAGTCTGTTAATCTGAATCCAAAAGTGCTCAAACATTCCAAGTCACCTTTTTACTATTAAAAAAAATCCAAAAAACTTAGGGAGGGAAAATAACTTCCCAAACCTTAAAAAAGCCCCAAACCAAGCAACTTAAAGACCACCTATTGTTATGAACCCAAACCCGCAAACTTGATTGCAAACTTGTGCCAAGATTGTCAGAGGGATGAAAGGGCCTGGGTATGAAATGCATGGGAAGATTTTTACGTTGTCTTTTGAATTTGTTGTGAAAACTCTTCCCCTCAGGGTGACAGGCAGCGACCACCGTGTTAAGAAGGAAATATGGTACATGTTGTAATAACAATAGTTTAAATTCATCTTTTGTGTTCCCAGTTGCCTAAGGAAGTTGGTTTTAGCACAAGAAACCTACTTGCCATTACAGCAACCCTCCATGGAGGCAAACCAAACTGGACAGCATTTCTTTTGTCAAGAAGGAACTTTACAGAAACTTGACTTTTAAGATTTTTGCACAAACAGCCTCAGGCTCAGGTGCCAAGTTTCCAATAAACCCCCTTAAGATTTTCTTGCCCCCTTCAATTTCTTGGATATTTTGCACTTGTAAAAATCAATCTCATTGCTTCTTAGGAAGGCAATACAAGACATGATAAAAGTAGGAAAATCAAGATATAGTGTTTCCAAAATACAACAGAAGCGTTCATTTATGAAGGACAAAAAGCCCTGCAATCCTTTCGTGTGCTTTTACACACTACAAAGAAACAAAAAGACAATCACATCCTCTGTATCATTCTTCCTTACAGGTCAGTTAAAATCAGAGTATCCTAAAAGAAGAATCAGAAGAACAGAGGTCTTTTTGTGGATTTTAGTGATTTACTCTGTAAAAAACCAATACTGATTAAGGTGTGGTTTTCATTTTATGTAACAGCTTTCTATATTTCTAAGCATAAAGGATCATCCCTCCCCCGCAATTTGTTTTTCCCAAATTCAAAGGAGTGCAGTGTTCAGTGTTTGTTCTTTACACAAATTTTGTAATCTTTTCATCTAGTATTTTATGCTGCTTGAACAATTTTCCTGACAATGAGAAATCACCAAGTATTTTCCATCATGACCAACTCGAATACTGGTCAACTCTGAAAGTCCCAGATGGCAGATTTAGTTGCAGCCAGATCACAAGTCTAATTGCCTTACATTAAGCATGGATGATTAAGAAGACTGTGCATATGAGTGGAGAATCTGAAGATGTATTTCAGCGCCTGACTTAAAGCAGTTATGATATGGAAACACTTTCAAAGATTACTTTCATGCTATCTTAGGAGAAGTACAGCAGACAGATCAGCACACGGGCTTACCATCTTCACCGACCACTGCACAGTTCATTTGAAAACAGAAAGAAACGGGAAATTACTGACATGCAACGACCAGTCACGAAAATGATTAATGCCTAAAAGTCTATCTTTAAAATATTACTTAAGGATTGATGTTTTCATTTAAAAAAATACATTTTACTATAAGCACAAGAATTGCTTTAAGAATTACTGAAAAAAAATTACTAGTGATAATGGGTACTTTAACTTATGAAATTTTAATAGACAACTTCATTAAACTACTTTTGAATTTTAGTGTTTTGAATAATAGGTTAAAGACCTTCTATTGTAGGAAAAGAAACACACACAGAGCCAACATTGCACAAAATAGCAGAATTTGATGATGATGGACTGATCAACCATATGCAAATAATTCCTTAATCACAGCTCAAAATCCATTACCATCACTTTTACAAATGTAATTTTTACAATGCATTTACTTTGTTATCACAGTAGATCTAGAATAAACAAAGATTTTTTTCAAGGTTAGAAGTAATCAGTTCTACTTTCTGAAAACAGCATTTGAGTTGTTGTGATCTAAAAATGTTTTAGTCCAGATAAAAATAAAGACATTCAAGACTTTATCCTTAGAAGAACCAAATAAAACATGGGGGTCTCAAGTCGAATCTTGGGTTTAACATTCACAGCATTTTGAAGATCTCCCATGCTCTTAATGACTTTGGATAACCCTTTCCAGAGAATCACCAAGCAACTTTGGAGACTGATATCTCAACCTCACTTATGACCCCCTCAGCACTTGTTAAGGTTGTTGATTGAGGCACACACACAAAATTAGAATTTCTAGCAACGAGGCAAAGCATCTTCACAAACGATACTTTGGTAGAAAACTCAATACAGTTCAAGGATGCAAAATGGCATAAATAATCTTCCTGTTCCCTTTAAAAAGAGCCTTCCAAGCAAACACCATTAAGGTTCACATATCGCTGCTGCTGCTGCATCTGTTTCTGTACCAACTGGCACTGAGCACAGGCTCTCACAAGCACTGACACTTCTGGAACTGCTGAGCTTTCAAAGGAGAAGCAGCAGCAGGTAGCAGCAGTACTAATAAAGCAAGGACAAAGGAAGCCTGGTTTTGTGATCTCCAGTGCCTTGAGAGAGATCTTGTACAGGGCACGTTAAACACAATAACCAGCATTCTTACTGTCTGATATCTGCCAGCTCATGGGCAGAGCTCGGTAGAAGCTGAAGCAAATTAAATACATTTTACACAGGCAGATACTGATAGGACCAAGGGCAATGGTTTTAAACTAAATGAAGGTAGATTTAGATTAGATGTTAGGAAGAAGGTGATGGGGCACTGGAACAGGTTGCCCAGGGAAGTTGTGGTTGCCCCATCCCTGGAAGTGTTCAAGGCCAGGCTGGATGGGGCTCTGAGCAACCTGGTCTAGGGGAAGGTGTCCCTGGTCTAGGGGAAGGTGTCCCTGCCCATGGCAGAGGGGTTGGAACCAGATGATATTTAAGGTCCCTTCCAAACCTTTCTATGATTCTATGGTTTGGTAGTTCTGCATGTCAGTACCACTGGGACATCATTTTTCAGGGACAAAAACGTAGAAAACAGCATCATGTATGAGCATATGTGATAATGTGATGTCTGTTAAAATGCTTGCAAGGAAATTCAAAATATATAAAAATTAGATGTTTATCTTGAAGATTTTACAGAGATATTTAATCTTGTGGCTTATTTGAGTTAATCAAGACCTGTAGGATATGAGTGATCCTCCCTAATTTTAAATAATACTATCCTGTATTAATTCAATTTTACAACATGAACAGTGTATTTAAAAAAATCAAAGACACAGTTTCATTTTCCATTAGCACTCCGTAGTTGTTAGCAGATGATCTTTTGCTTCAGTAAGAGGTTCCAGAACCACTAGTACTGCAAAGGTAGTGATCTGTAAGCCAGGAGTCAATACATCTAGTGATCAACAAAGCCGAGGTGTAATCAAGACCTGTGCTATCTAATCCAGTAGTTCCTCACTAAGTACTGAAGAGGAAACATCCCCTTCATGAGCAGCCCAAACTATGATCTGAGTGATTCAGAAGGGGAAAGCAGACACAAAGTCCTCCACATGTACTTAGAGGACTACAAGAATTTTCTAAAAAACGGTCATGGTAGAAAGGGTATTTCCAAGATATCCAGGGGGCCTGAAATTGGATGCCACAACACGACTTCAGGGAAATAAGTTTTAACTGGAACTCATTCTATTTCAGAATGACAACAAGGGAGCCTCCAAATTATACCTTTGCTGCAATATAACAACGTTGCACCTTAATCTCCACATTACGTCAAGAGTAGACAACTATTCTTGATGCAAATGAGGCAGCAAGTCAATATTGTTTTGAAACATTAAAAAATTATTAATTATGCATCATCAAATGCATCCAATTATCTCATTATTTGGATCAATAAATATCATTAAATATACATAAACTGGGCAGCCTATGCTTTTCTGACATACCAGGGAAGTGCCAGTACATTTATCACTAGTACTATAAACGTTGCTAGGAAACCATGGAGTATTTCCCTTCTACTGCCTTCCAAATAAATTCTATTTGCAGAATATGCCACTACAAATTAGTAAATTAATTGGTAAGTCTCGGTAGGTGGCATTTGGTAGCAATTTTTTCAGTATTTTTACCCAAAAGAACCTAAGACAAACAAAAACAATTAATTAATCAGAAAACGCATTAAAACGATAATGCTTTAAAAATCAGTATTCCAAAATGTGCAAGCCCCATGTGCTATAGCAGTTGAAGTACAGAAGAAATTAAAATTCTCCCTTCTCCAGTACAGTATCTCATCATCAACTACTACAATTTCAATTCAAATTCAACAAAGAAGACCTACCAGATCTACCAGATGATTTTTGTGGTGACTATATGGCCAATGATAAATTACTGCAAAAATATGTTACATGATGGTAGGAAAACATTTGTGAATGTGAACAACAATGAAGAAAGGTATCAAACACATGCTGAGCACCCTCTTTATAACACCTTTCTTTTAGGCACAAGTATTTCAAATGTGATAAGGAGTATTTCTGTTTTATTTTTAATCCGGTGGTAACTTCTGTACAGTATGATAAAAAGTATCCTAGAAGTGACCTTATAGCTGAAGTGTTACTTTTAACCAAGTAAGCCTTATAACGAGGGTGAAGAGCATCAGAAAAGCCACATCACAAACACACTGTTCATAGCCCATCATGCATTTCAACTTGTTATTGAACTTACCCCTCTTTTGAGGCTTCTGAAAGAAGGAATTCTGGGCTTCCCTGTTTTTATGTCACTCATGCAATAATGCACTGGTTCAATGGAGAATATGGGATACTGGGACCCATTAGGAGTACTGGATGTGTATAAACTAGTAGGGGTTAGGGGTGGGGATTGTGGCTAATGTGGAAATAAAGAAAGCAATAAATAAGCCAAATGTTCAAAGTGATTTTAAAATGAAAATTCTCTCTTACAAAACTAAAATTTCCATCCAACACAGAAACAGCTTGTAACGTTCCAGACACATTAACACTATAACTGTATCGGGTTTAACAGGGTTTCTGTCATGAATTAAGTCTTCAGAGTTACAGGTTGCTGCAGAGAGTGAAGGAATATTCAAAAAAGCTTTAGACTCAACGCTGCCACAGGGTCCTAACAAGGTCCCCAAGTTCCCTGTCTCTTTTCTTAAAACAAAGTTCTGCTATTGCCAGTTTAGTCACAGTCATTCTGGAAGCTCATGCGTTCCTGCTCCAGGCTTCCTCCTACATACTGAGGTACCCTACCAGGTTAGCCAGAACAGAAATATTAGGTACATCCATGGAGAATGACTAAAACAAAAAGTGTTCTTGATCTCTGTAGTCAGGCTGGACTGACATAATGCCTTTTTCAAATTGCTCCCTTCTCCTCCCTTTTTTTCAAATTGTTTCTCTAATTTTTTTCTGTCAAACCTCTGCTGCTCTTTCCCACTTCAATTTTTCTGTACTATTTCCACTCTTGCACAAGTCATTCCCTTTCAAAATGACTTTTAAGTCTTTGACAACATCAGAAAATAGGTAAATCCATACCTGGAAGTCAAGGCCAGCCATAGTTTCAGCTAAATGAAGGCCCAAAGGCTACCATGAATACTCTAGCTGCACTAAATCAGCTAGTTTTGCATTAGCTAATTTAAGAATATATTTTAAAACCTGTGAATAGTATTTGGAATTAAATAGGTATCTTCTGATAAGTATTTTGCTCCCAGCTGCTGTTTTGTAGAGCACTCCTCCATTCTACCCAAAAACAGGTGACAAAAAAGGAACAAAATCTTTCATTTTGTCCAGGTCCTTTAGGAAGAGACACGTGTAGTGTGTATAACAAATGTACACCTGTGATTCCACACAGAAAACAGTAAGGTTGACCCCGAATGCCACATACAAAGTGAACAAACTGGGGAGAAGAAAGAGTAGGGCAAGTGCTGACAGCTTTCCTCATACTCAGGGACTTCTTATAACTACAGTAAATGCCAAGGTCCAGGCTGAAAAACAATGTAGATTTACAGACTCTCAGAAAGATATCTTGTGGACAAACTGGCAATTATGATCTGATTTTAGACCAGGCTGAATCTCACCCACCTCTGAAGACAAATGCAATAATTATGCTCATATATTACTGCATTTAAACTATTATCAATAGTTAATTATATTGCATGAAAAGCAAACAATCAGTTTTCACTTCAACACACAGCTGCAGTTACATAATATATTGAGCATGGAATAAAAAAATCAGCTGTATCCTTCCTTTCTATAAAGATATGCTTTCTTGGAATACTATCAAGTGGAAACTAATTCCTACCAGTAACAAGCTTTAAGAATAGTTTCCTGTAATAAATGACAGACACTAGCTTGGACCATTAAAATAATCTCATAGAAATTTGTGAGAATCATTAAAGTGGTTCACTGATATGTTCCAATACTAAACAAAGATATAGCATAAAATCTAAATATGTGTATGCTCCATTATTCATTTTTATGTAACTAATGCCTGTATTGACAATCTTTTTTGTTGATGCATGAAGGCATCTTGCACAGAAAGTGCTAATTGTAATTCCCATTATAAGAGACCAAAGGAGTCACTTCTATGCTTTCAATATTTTCTTGAGCATAGAAATATTTTTACCTATTTCACAGTAATATTTTCTAGGACATTTACCAGTATGGAGCTTCAACACTATGTTTTATCAATGAGGTATCATAAGCTTTAATGTTTTCAGACAAATCTCAGAAGTTTTCAAAAGCAGCAGGTCTAATAAAAATCCATATAGCATTTCTATATATAAATGTGACATTTAGAAAGGGGTTGCTTTTTATATTACAAAAGAGAGATCTGAAGTCTGGCTGATTCCAAAGTACACTCCCCCTTATTTTTACATTCACAATTAACACCTTTTCTGTGCAATTGCAGAAAGCCTTTACAGAATCTTAGAAAGATTTCCCATTACAGTAATGGGAAGCTACTTTTATCAAATGCAATGAAACATTCCCAGACACAAATCAATAGAAGGAATGTGGGAAGTATCCAACCCTATTCAAGGCTTCAGATCTCCTTACACATATTTTAAAAGACAGTGGTGGGTAAGGGGAAGGTTATTTTAAAATAAATAAACTGCTGCTTCCATGCACTCTAGATGTTCACATTTTAATTTTCCAAATAATAATTTCTTAATTGTTACCTTTGGTTTCTTTCCAAACAGCCACAGCTTTCCTTTAGCCTTGCCAACTGTAGTTTTTGAATCAATTCTCATTCCTTCCTGCTTTGGTGTACTGATGGTTCCATCAGAGATAGTTCTGTAAATATTCTGACTGTAGTCTTCAAATGGAAAATCTCCAGGAGGTTCAAAACCAGATTTGAAGCAGTCTATCACTAGTTGAGAGTCCTAAACAAAGGACATTAAGGAGGTTAAAAAGCAAATCCATCAAGAACCAGAGAGAGAAAAAACAGGGAGACAAATGTTTCTTTGAATTGCAGAGATGGGACAGTAAGAGCAAGCTCCAAACACGTGCTGTTGGACAGAGTGAGTTAAGATAACACACGCTCTTTTATCTCAGCAGTGCTCAAAGCACGCTCTGCTATTCAGAATCCAGCAAGTATTTCCCAAGGGTGATCACAGATTTAAAACAGGACATGCTTCAGGGACAATCTACTACTCCACTTTTTGATCTTTCAACATGGGCACTGAAAGGAAGATAATGCTGAGAAACCAGATGTAGTAAGGTATGATCAGGAAGAATCCGTATTATAAGGAATAAGAAAGAAGCACCAACAGCTGGAATCAAACAGGACATGGAATGATACTCTGTTAACTGAATACCCTTTATATGATTTAATGTCACATAAAGGAGAAAATACCAACCACACTGGTATTCTAAGGCATTTCAGGATAACCAAAAGGTGTCCAAAATCAAACGCAATGAGAAAGTGTCAAAGATCTTCAGATCACATGAGATCAATAAAACAGGGAGAGAGCAGACACCACAGTGGAAGTGATCACTTAAGGTTTGAAATCACCACACTTTTCAAGCTGGCAAATATTTGACAACAGAAAGGAAGATGCACAGGTTAAGTCAGCCTTTCCCCTCTCCACAGCTTCCCTATCAGTTCAACTGCTCACGCTCTTGTACAAAGTTACTCAGTTCTACTTACTCTGTGTTCATCGACTGACTTGGCTGCAAGGATCATCCCTTCTAAACATTTAGAGATTATTGGAATAACTTTGCGCTCAGAGTCAGCAAAGCCTTTGTAACATTCACTAAGTTTGATAGTCCTTCTTTCATCCATTTCTTGAAGTTGCTGCAAGTGCAAAGAAAGACAAAATAAAGCTTTCATTTTGTCCCCTCGATCATGGTACATGCAGTCCATTGTGGCCACCACAGTGTAGTACAGGATTTCTGTGCTTTCCTAATATTTTTATTTGCTTAACAACACAGAACTTGGAAGTTCTTTCAGACATAGATTTAAGATGCCCAGAACAGTAGTTACAAAGAGTTTGTACTCTTTGATTTCTAAAAATTATATAAAGGACTGGACTTCCTTTTCCTCCTTCTTGTATAAAGCACATGTACAGGTCTATGGGCAACTCAGTTTAAAGAATTTGTTTCATGCCCAAATGAAAGCCACAACGAAGAAATTTTACTGATTTCTACATCTCCTCACTCTCTTCTTCTACTTCCAAGTAATTTCTCCAGTGATAAATATCTCCATCTTGCTTTTATTTTTATGCTTTCCAGTAAATACTAATTATTTAAAAATAGGAAAAATTATAATTATCTGCAATTTAGACACAATCTCTGATTTGAAATACAAACCATTTCCTTTAGAAGTGTGCAAGAAAATAAAGAAAAGAATACCATTACATAAGATTTGCAATAAAAGTTTACCGAAACAGAACAAAAAAGAACAAATTCAAGAGAAATACTATTAAAGTCATAACCCTGGACTTTTCACCTAATAGAAGGTGGGGGGAAAAAAAAACAAAACAAAAAAACCAAAGACCGACAGCACATACACCAATAGGTTGTCAAAAACCAGGGAAGAAGTTGGATCTTTCCTGCAATTACACTAAGGCAGATGTCTCTGACAGTATTGAATTTCATCTCTCAAAAGCGAAACAACCTAGTCATGCTAAACCCTTTTCCCAAGGTTTTCCCACAGAATGTTACCAAATACTTGCAAGGAAACAATAAAAGTGTAGTCCCAAGAGAAAGTAGAACTAGGCCTTTTTACTGTTACTGTAGGGTTCAAAAAACGTAAGTAATATCTTACAAGGATAATGAATTTTAACCCTAGAGAAATAAAGGCAGTAAAGAAAAACTCTGGTCCATGCTACAAAGATGATCAGACTGTTTCTCCTGGGAGCTGACTGCAATTCTTCCATCTCTGTGTTAATGTCAGATCTACTGCAGTGCTGCTTAACAGTTAAAATATTAGAAAACTCTTTAATAAGCCAAGGCAATTTTCTCCTGTGAATCCTAGACCTTCTAGTAAGAATTTAAAAAAAAAAAAAAAATGAACTGACTTGTGCTTGTGGAAAACATCAAGCATACTTTAATCAATATACCTTCAAATAAAGTCAGTACTTCCCTTGCCATTTCCTGACTCCCTGTGTCAGAATCAGTTCCCATGTCTATTCTCCCACGTGGTTGGAGGTAAATGCCAACACACTTTTGAGCTCTCCTCACCTGAGGTCCCCCAAAGTACTTTAGTTTTTGAAAGACTGTTAAAAAAATATCCTAACAGTTACATAAAGCACCTCAAGAAATCCCCATTTTAGAATCAAAATATTGAACTTTTAACTTTTTTTATTGTTTTAGAGAGGTCTGTGGATTGCTGGTAATATTGATGAAGCAAAGACCAGCTGGGGGCCAGGGCTGGTACTTCTGCTTCCAATCACCCATTTTACATCTGTGCATGAGATCCATGAAACCACCCAGTCACCACGTGCTTTCCTTCATCTCTGCCAGGGGCAAAGCATTCACACACACACAAATACCATGAGAACTACTGATCAAATCCTGTTAGAATGATTGTTTTAAACACTTGCTGTCACCTACATGTCTCAAATGTTTATTTTGTCAGACCTCTTCAGCAATATTTAAACAGTCTATAAAATATAAAATCTTACAGATAATGCAACTGAGCATTTTTGTTACAAATCTAAGTATAAATATGGTAAGCAATAAGTCTCATGATAAAACACCAGGTTGTACCAAGATTATGCCAATTTCTCGATGAAGTTATCCACTAAAATACTAAAACTAAAGTTTAAAATGTTAAAATATACTTCTTTAGAAGATCAGACACACTTTATCTGTTAATTATTTTACCTTATAAATCTGAGGAATGACAATGTAGTAGTGTTTGTGCTGTTCCCCGTTAAAGTTCTGTAGTTGTGCAGCATATTCATTTTTGTTTTCATCAGCCATATGTGTGCGCAGGTTTAACTGTTGCTTGGCCTAACAGGAAAGTGTTACCAGGTTAAACACGTCTTGTGCTTCTCAATGACACCACAGCATTATTTTATTATACCAACTATGCAAAAACACTGGCCACAAGTCATCAAAAACAACATCCTTGTAACTGGAATAAAAAGAATGTGAGACTTGGTATCTACTGACACTCTACAAACCTCACTCGTCACATACAGAGAAAGCAAGGATCATTTTAGCTCCCTCAGCCACCCTGCTTAAATGCATATTCTAAAAAACACAGAAGTGACTGAACACACATACCACAAGATACCAAACATCAGAAAGCCTTCCTGTTTAAGGAAGACAGTCATCCTAACCATCCAGAGGGACCATCACAGTTCAACAAGGTCCTGCACCTGGGTCAGGGCAATCCCAAGCACTGACACAGGCTGGGCAGAGAAGGGATTGAGAGCAGCCCTGAGGGGAAGGACCTGGGGATCCTTGCAATGAGCACTCACAGCCCAGAAAGGCAACTGTGTCCTCCTGGACTGCATCAAAAGCAGCGTGAGCAGCAGGTCAAGGGAGGTCACTCTACCCCTCTACGCCACTCTGATGAGATCCCACTTGGAGAGCTCCCAGCACAGGAAGGACATGGACCTGCTGAGGTGAGTCCAAAGAGGGTCATAAAAAAGAACAGAGAGCTGGGGCATCCCTCCTATGAAGACAGGCTGAGAGAGCTGGGACTGATCAGCCTGGAGAAGATAAGGCTCTGGGGGCACCTTAGAGCTCCTTCCAGCTCCTGAAGGGGCTACAAGAGAGCTGGAGAGGGACTTTTTACAGGGGTCCTAGTGATAGGACAAGGGGGGATGGCTTCAAACTCCTAGAGGGCATATTTAAATGAGACATCAGGAAAAAATTCTTTACTATGAAGGTGGTGAGGCACTGGAACAGGTTGCCCAGAGAAAGTGTGCATGCCCCATCCCTTGCCGTGTTCAAGGCCAGGTTAGCTGGGGGTTTTCAAGATTCCTTCCAAGTCAAACCATTCTGACTCTATCTACGCAGCAGAATGGTCTCGAGACTAACGAAGCATCCTCCCTTCCCATGCTGTCTTACATTTTACTGTAACTTTGATTTTGCACATAATAAGCAAGCATATTTTATACACAATTTTATACACTCACTGAATGTTGTTCCAGTAGTGCTGATAAACATACAAATAACATATCATTTTTAATAAAGGTCACTGCCCTTACCTTCTCAACATCAGCCTTTGTCGCGTTAGTGTCATTGTCCAGTCGTTCATAGCTTTGCTGGGCCTTCTCTGCCTCTCTGCATTCTCTCTCAAATTTCTTTTTGCTCTACAAAAGGCACAAACCTACTGCTTCAACAGCCACTATTCCCATTCAGTTTCATATATTAATGCTGAATTCTAAACATCAAAGCTTCCATTTAAGTATCTTAGATTCACTAAGAACCTTTAAATAAGCACATTGTTATCACAGCAACTAGATCTAAACATTTTTCAACTTTTCTATTTAAAACTTATTTCCTTGAAGTACCAGCAAGGAAACTGCAATTATGCTACAAAGTACAAAATATGCAATAATCCATTACAAAGAGCCACAGTTTAAAATAATCACCCAAGTCCACTTTCTAGCCTGACTTCAATAACCTAAATAAAAGTTATGGGGCAGAAAGCTTAAACCTGTGTGAGCAAAATTTGCAAGTTCCTTCTTCGGTGATCAATTTCACTACAGTAAATTTAACTGAATTATTATGCAGGCAGTCTGAAGGATGCATATACATGACGATCATCATCAGTATTCACATCAGCTGGCACAGTTGAAGGTAGCACAGGCAACAGTATTCATTGTGCATGATGTTCAATATATCCAGCTGTTGTCAAGACAACTGCTGTAGGAAAAACAGTTGCAGCTCAAGAATTTAGCATCTCTAGAGACAAACTGCAACAGAGACTGTGGGAGCACTGCTCTCCTGCTTCAGTGCAAAGGCAGGCAGCTGAGGTTGTGTGTCCCTTCAGGGCTGTGTGCATGGAAAAGACTGACTTTGCAACCAAGCAAATACAACGTTGTTTGAGCTGAACTCTGGGAATTATCTTGGTGAAGGGTGACAGCACCTAAAACTTCCACATCTGCCCCTATTCTGATCCTCCAACAATGAATTAAGCTCTGACATAACAATGAAGCAAGACTCAGCTCATCTGGGACCACAACAACAAAGTAAGAAATTCACCTCTCCAGTCTTATTTCACAATAATCTGGACCAAAGGTATAATAAATTTTTAAGACACAAAACCAGCAGAATATCAGAATACATCTTGAACAGACTTGACTGAATTTTATATTTTCTTATCTTTAAAAGCATTTCTTTCAAGAAAAAGAGGTTTATAATCTGTTCTAGAGACATTTGCTTTCTGCATTTCTCTGTTAAAATTCTACCTCCTGAAAGTACAGTTGTCTACTGCGGTATGCTTGAATAAAATCATGTCACAAGCCCTCAAACTCAAGTCAAATACACTGATTTAAGATTTTATTTTCATATAAATAAGTTGCCATTATTAGCAGTCCAAGGAGAAGCAACCAAAGTCTGTACCCATATTAAAAACAGATTCCTTTATGCTGGTGACGCTGGATAAAAGCCAAGGCTTCCCTCAAACATACACACAGGAGCTGTTTACAGGAGATTGTTTTAACCAGGGAACTATAAATACATTGAACTATATTTTGGATGTTACTAAGTTACTTGGACATTCAGTACTACAGCTAAGTATTAAAATCTAAGCAAGACAGCTGACAACAGCTCCATTTACACACTATATATTATTTAAGTTCAACAGCAATAAAACCCCAAACACCAACTCACATTATCCATCTGTTTCCAGCACATGTCCAGATACTGCTGAGCCTTTCGCCCTTCCTGAAGATGCTAAAAAAAAAACCCACATATAAGTTTAACTTGCCTGTCTTTTTAGTATTGTTACCATTAGTTAGTGCCTGCTCTAGCTGACAGCCTATGATGTGCAGTATCTCCCACAAGTTACTGGTACTCTTTGGAAAACATTACTAATGACATAAAAACAGCACCACACACGAAAATTACACTGGCAAAAAAAGTTTACTAGTAAGCAATGTATTAATTTTTAGGTTTAATAACTGTAGTAAACCAGTGTGTATAGACATATAGAATAACTTTAAATGTGTTTTATAAATGTATTACAATGTATTACAAAACTTATTGCCACGTTCATTAAACTGGCTACGCAAATACATCAATTCATTAAAAAACACACATACATTCTGACATCCTATTTATAAATAAAAAATATAAAAATTACCATTTTTCTCTCAGTTTTTAGATCATGAGAATATCTCATCAATTCTCCATACACTCTGTGTCCCATCTCTTCTGCAACTACTTCTCGTTGTCCTGCATAGTCATTCAGCTCATTGAGGATGTTAAAAAAAGCAATACACGAAGTAAACCTGACAGAAAGCAAACACACACAAACACACACACACAAACGGTCAGGAAGGTTTTTTTAGATGGACTTCTTTTTGCATAGTCTGTACTCCTGATTAAAGTAAAAAAAAAACCATACACATTTTACAAGAAACCTTATCTTAATGCTAATTGAGTCAGGGCAGAAAAACAAGTTGGGAATGCCTACGTTAAGCCTGGCATGTACTATAGATGTTGCAATGTCTCTTCAAATACATTTTATAAGAACATGGGGGTTTGTGGATGGAAAAGAAAGAAGAAGAATACTACCTGGAAAGCCCTGTAGTATAGTGGTATCTCCTAAGCTGCCAACTGAGAGGCCTGAGCTTGGGAGCGGATACATACGTCCCTAGGCTCGCAGGCTGAACTCGCTGCAGAGATGATGTGCTTGGTAGTCTTGAGGGTGGAACATGCCAATCATCCCACTCCTATGCATCCCGCTGGATGTTCTACAGAACAAGTTTGCTGTCAGCTCTGGAGACAGCTGCCTGTTTGCCTGCCCACCTCTTGGCTGGAAGTAAGGTGCCACTATGGCTGGCACTAAAAAAGGGGGAAGAGGAGGGGCAAAGGGTAGACAGTGTGTGTGGAAGGGAAGAAAGGAAAAAAAAAAACCAGGCACCACATTAAAATATACACCTTTCTCTCTTTTAACTGTGGAACACTGCCATCTCCATAGGCTTGGCTCTTGGGAATTTCAAATGCCACCCTCGCACTGGAAGGCCTATTCACTGTGGTCCAGGATCTTTACATAGTTAAAAGAGCTAGAAGAAATCCTACCATCAATTCTCAGGCACTCTGCACAGCACGTGCTCTGGCTGCAACCTGAAACTTGCCCATTTTTTTTACTTCCTAAGACTTATCACTAAAGGAAAAAAGTGTTGTGCTTTTCTAAATAAATTTTAAAAATGGCTACGGCCACAGACAACAAAACAAGCACATCCCTGATAAAGAAAGTTGCTTAGCACCAATTGTTCCACCACCATTAGACATTCACTTATTTGGCCTCCAGAGCCAAAGCAAGTCAGCATTTTGAAAGCTCTTCTTGCCTGAAACATGACAATCTCATGTGCATTCAAGTCCCAGAATACAGATGCATTGTTACATTTGTACTGCCATAAAAATGCACTGGAAAACACTATTAAACCAAGAAAAAAATAAAGTCTAAGGACACATAATTGCTTTTCTTTAAAAAAACCAAATAGTAGACTGTACACAGCATGCTTAACTTCTGCTTTCAAAATTTTGGTTACCTAAAGATTAATTTGGGAGCAAGTACAACCTGCCATGTTTACTACATTAAAATACTAAGAGGAGTAAACAAACATTTCATGCTTAAGAATTACAGGAAACTACAAGAAGCCCAGCAGAATTCTTTTGTTGTCTTAGCCAATTCAATACTTTATCTTAAAAAGAAAAATCCTTAAAAGGACAGCACATACTGTTAGTCCTTGTTTGTTTATACATAGTACTTGAAATACACATTTTTACCTGGGTTCCTCATCTTTTGGTGAACGTTTAGGACAGTACTTCTTAACCAGATTCCTATTAGGAAAGAAAGAAAAAAAGATGCTATTTTAGAGTCTCCTTTGAGAAGACATGCACATAGAAAACTGCATGAACAAATTGTTTCTTTTTAATGACTTCTAGGAACAAACCTATTCCCTCTGTCATCTTACAAGGGTCCTTTAGATAACACAAGACAGAAATCTATGGCATTTTCAAAGTTCTAAGTCACTTCAACCTAGAACAAAATGAAAATATTTTCAAACCTCTATTGCACTGTGACTAGACATAAAATAATTAGTTCTTTATTTAACATCGTTTTCACACATGCAGAAGCAGCTTGCAGACAAGAACAAAGCAAATGTATGATCAGTGTGTAACGTACAGACAGTGCACACCGTATGCTGTACCCATGAGCACAGAACTCCATGCCTGAATTCAGCATTAAATGTAGATTCAGGTTGATGGTTTTAACCACAGTATCTCCAAATCTTCAATAAGGACATTTCCAGAACAGAAAAGACAATGTTTATTTTCAGAATAAAAGTTTACAGTTTGCCCTTACCACCAGCATTGCAAATACCAGGTATTTGGAATCAAATCTCTAAAAGACAATCCATAGGATCAGCATTTAACACAGTATCACAGTCCAATTTCTGGTAACATTGGTATGAAATAATATGCTTATCATAAAATGCAGAAAAAAGAGGAAAGGAGGAGTAAGAGAAGATTCTAGGAGAAAAAAAACCCTCTTATGCAATGTTGTGTACCTCATCCCACTGTCTCTGTGCAACTTCAGTTGTTACAAACTGTGTACTACCTTACCATTAAAACAAGGGTCCTAATTTTGCTTTCATCTAAAATAACCTTGTGCAGTTTCTCAAATCCATTTATCTGGAAGTCACCTCTACTGTACAAGAGTATATGCAGAGAGATTGTGTCCAGCCATGAAGAATATACCAAAACATGAGCAGGGAGTTGGTGTGGAAACAGCAGCTTTAGACCTTCTGCCTCTTCCCACACCCTCTGAGACTACAACCAAAAGAGCAACTATGACAAGACAAGTCCTCCTCACATCAAAATGTACTAAGAAACAGAATAAACACCGACTTTTTAAATATTGTCTACACATTTTATAGTAACTTCCTTATTGATGTTCAAGCAAGAATCTCTTCTTGCTGTCACCAGAATCTGTTTTAACATTCTACTTGGCAGGGATTGAAGGCAAACGTTTTGATAGGAAAATGCATAAACCTGAGTAATAGAAAAAAAGCCCAATAATATTCTTTAAGTAACTTTCCTGTGTTTCATTTTCCCTTACGTTCCTGCTTTGCTTCTCAGTGCTTATTAATGAATAGGAAAAAACTCCTAAAATTCGCCTTATTATTATTCCGACAGTGAAATGCATAACACACATACAGCGCTGTAGCTAAGCAACCACACACGAGCCTCTTCACAGGGAGATTTGCAGAGTTGGTAAAAATGAGAAAAGTAAGGACTTACTAAAATCCATACAGTTTAAAGAGAGAGAAAGGTCACAAATAAAGGACAGAAGGGTCACAAATACAGATTATTTACTGGCATGGTGATTTCTGTCCTGGTTTCATTCTTTAATGCAATTTTTTACTATTTCTAGAGAGAAAAGTATTATATAATCCTTTCTCCTACAGTTTCAACAGTCAATTCTGTCTACCTTGAGACCAAAGGAACATGCAGATTTGAGACACTGTGTGATCAGGATTTAAAGTTCAATAACAGCACAGGATACAATAATCAAAGGCAATAAATATGAAATGACAAGCAAATGCAGAATTTAAAGATCAAAGAAAAGCCAGTGTCCACATGAAGAATTAAGCATAAATGGTTTTTCCTAGAACTGAATACCAACACTTAATAAAAACAGAGCAATTCAATTTAAATCTTTGAAGGAGGATAGGTTGACAAGCAGTCAGTGTGAGCGTGGATCTGAAGAGTGAAGCACTACTTCGAAGAGGAGTCAGTTGACACTTTTAAGGGGACGTAACATTCTCTAACATTTTTATCTAAATCCATGTGCAATCCTCAGAATCCAAATACAGATCTGAACTCGTTTTGAAGAAAACTGCACAAGTAATTGTGAACCACCAGAACTGAACCAAATCTACAAGATTAACTGCTCTGGGCTTCCTTAGAGAAGTGTAGTTGATGACACTTCAATCCTCTTTGGAAGTACAATTTAGACAACTTCTACCACACTCTGTCTCTTAAGATCTGGAAGCAGATTTCATACAGACTAACCTCCTGTAATTTTATCAACGTCTCTTCTTGGTCTCAGGTCAACATCAGTGAGACAGGAACCTGATTTTTAAGAGAAGTACCATCTCAGTACTTCTCAGCACTCCAGTTATTAAATTAAAAGTACTTATAGTCATGTACATAAAATGTCTACACAAAATTTTACAGATGTATACAAAAATTGTGTTTATCAACTCAAAACTACGTTTTCTTCCATCAATTAATACAGAATGTAAAGAACAGAGGCAGCACTGTCAGTATGGTATAATTTCTATTAAGGTAGCAGTTCAGGTACTATGGTATCTGCTTATACTAAACCTCTAGAGCTTCTATATCACACTAGAGATGAGTCTGGGAACAAACCTCTTTTGCTTTCACAAGTTACTAAAATTGCACTAAGTACTTAAAGGCATTCCATATTTATACATCATCGTTTCCATATGGTTCTGATGACTTTGGTGATTAAGTATCAGTATTATGGACTGGGTGAAAACAATGACAACTGTATTTAGTAACATCTATCAGAAGAAGTTTTAACTGAAGCAATGAATCTTAAAAAATTGTAACCTGGAATTTGAGTTTACAAAGCTGAATATTCTTGGAACCAGTGAGAACTTGTATGTGTAGGCTTGGAGAAACATCACTATAAAAAAACCTGCCACAACCATTGCTGGATAAGCAACAGTGTAAATTCTCAGCTCCAATGGAAGGAAGAGAGATTTGAGAAACGATCACATGTGATGATAATCTGTATCCTTAATTTAACATTTGAGCTTACACCCATTTTAAATAATGTTTCCAAGACTCTTCATATAAAAATGTGGAAACTAGGTCTCAATTTGACTAGACACAGGCATATATTATTATCGTATTTTGAAAAGCACCACTTATACCCAGTAGTATGCAGAAGGAACATGAAAAACCATTTTCTCAGCGTAAGCAGACACCTCCAGAGATCACAAAGTACAATTTTAATGGACAACAAACAGCTCAAGAACAATCATCGCTATTTGCTTTAAACTGACAGTAGAGAAGCTGAGCACAGTCAGAAATTTTATTCCGCGTGGTAGTTTGATCTACAAGTGCAGGCAGAACTTGAATTACTGCTCAACATCACAGAAAACTCCTCTGTCTGCCCGAGAGCCTTAATGCTTCAGACAGGACAAGAAGGGTGTGAACCTTCAGAATTGTTTTGTGTGTGATGATGTGGAAGTAAACAAAGCAGACCTTCACCTCACCCATTTTCAGAAACAATGCTGATCAAAAGTAACATCTGAGAATTCAATTTAAAAATTCAGCCAAGAGCCCAGTAATTTGGAACATATTAAACCTAATTTTTTCCAGTTAGAAAATATAAACAAAGTAAACAATCATATCATTAAAATGAAATGTGTTAATCTACACTACAATATGTCCTGATTCACATTACTGTAACTCAACAATGGCCTATAACTTTTGCAATCCTTGGGGTAACATAATACATTAGTTGAGACCTATGCTACAAAAACTTTAGATTTTCCTTTAAGTTAGATCAAAGAAAATTAAATTATAGTTGCCTTTTTGCAGAATAAAGTATATTGCAAAGACAAGATAAGCTCTGTAGACAGAAGATTTCAATTTTTCTTATACTTTTTTCAGTATCAAAGAAGAATAGCAAGGAATTACTTGTAAACTAAAACCAGCATTTGGACATTATTTTCACCAGCTATCATTTCTGGAATTACTCAGCAATCACAAACTGCAATAACTGCATACAGTAAGAATATAGTGAGTTCACTCAAACAGTTCCTCCTATGCTGTACATGCATCACTTGTCATCTCCTAGAAGACTTGGAACAGCTGTTGCCCCTGGGAAAGCCTCATCACTAAGTTGTGAGAGCATAAAGAAAAACAAAGTTACCAAAATGCAAGGGTATAAGCAAAGTGAATATGACTTTCTGCCAGGACACAGACTCAAAACTGTTTTGAAAAATTCACTCCAGTTTTCATCACTGGGTTTAAGTCTACAAGAATAAGGTCCATCAATGACCTCAACAGAATGTTCACAGCCCACACTGAACCCGAGAGACAGAAAAAAATACCACCATACATCACTGGCATTATCTTCCTGATCAGCAACTTGTTTTTTCTTGGTCTCCGACCCAAGTACTGAGAGAGCCAAAGAACTACCAAGAGGTGACCACTCACCATTCTGTTTATACATCTACTAAACAAGGGCATAATTAAATTCAGTTATAAAGTTCATAATGAAAAGATTCTCAACACTTAGTTTTCAGATTATATTTCATTACAAAAGGAAAAAACAGTGATATACTAGAAATTTCCATCTGAGATATTAATGTCTATCTCACAGACCATAAGCTGCCAGCATTAAAGTTCACCAGAACCACAGTTCATCCCCCATCAGAACTTCCCAGGAGCTGCAGAATGGCTAATCCTTCTGGAGGTAAAACTGTTGCTCGATCTCAACCTATCCTGGGCCTCATGACTGTTTTACGTGGTTAAAAATGGTGAAATGTCCTCAGGAGCAATGATGGCTGAAATCAACTCGTTATCACAACACAGTTCACAGTCAAAGTCTCCCCCAAAGAACACATAGGGAAGAATATCAAAGAGCAGCTTCATGAACTGGTCTACTGGCAGAAAATCAGTCACCCTCATGTGTGTGCTGTCCAGACCCTCGTTGGCAGCAGGCAGGAGGTGCGTGCATGCACTGTACAACACGTGTGCAGCAAGACCTGTGCTTCCCAAAACTGTCATACTTACTGCACACAGTCAGTCCAGTCATCTGACAGAAGGAGTACTCGACAAAGCTCTTTCATTTTTGAAAGACACTTCAAGAAAAAGCAATAGTTTTACCCCGAGTAAAATGATGAACAGAGAAAATTTCCCATTTTCAGTCAAATCCTGAAGTAATAATGTGGTGTTTCATCTTGCTAGCTGTGGAATGAACCTTTAAATACAACTAAGCAAAAGGTATTTCTTCATACTATTTAATGACAAGATGTCAATAGATCTGTGCAAATAAAACATTTCTATTTTTAAACAGACAACTGAAAACAAATCAAAACTGGGCTGTGAACTGTGAACTTCTACACCAACTTTGGAAATGTGCTATTTATTTCCTTCCTTAGAAAAAAATTCCTTCAGAAAGTCATGAGTTATTATGTTAGGTGAATATACACAACTGGATCAAAAGAAACTGATAAAGAAATCAAAAATATTATGAGTAGCCTCATGAATATCCATACCCTCAGCTGTGAACCTCATTACTGTATTTATGAGGAAGGATTTCTCAGCTCTCTATCTGGTGACAATCTAGTTTGCCAATGATGAGATGATGGAAGAAACCACAGGAGAGAATTTGCTATCGGTTTCAGTGTGACAAGGGCTACGCTGCAGCTTCAGCTGAATCCCCAGGGCAATTCAAGACAGCAAAGCTTACAGTGAAGGCAAAGATTGTGGTGAAGACCAACTTCACAGGAGTGTCTTACCTTAAATTTTGTTCTTCAAGCACTGAATGCCCCTTTTGGTAAAAATCAATCCTAGTTTATTCTGAAGAATGTGCTTCTCTGCCATTTCACTGCTGCTACTCTCCTTGCATGATCCCTGAAGGGAAATTCCTACTGGACCTAAAAGATGTTTCACTTGGCAGCAACACAAAGTAAACTGCAGAGGTAAGACAAAGGGTGGCTGGGTTACAGTCTCACCCAAAGGGAAAAGCTCTGGAAAGGGTGCACATTAAGGACAGGAAGATCTGCTGCTTTCTCAAGTTCTACTCAATCATTTCAATCAGATTTCTTAACACAATGTAGGGTACCTCTTGCCAATTCAACACGAGAAATTAATTAGCAGCAGAGACTTGAATACTGTTGAGTGATCACACACACACAAATGTAGATAAGGATAATGCACTTTACAAAAAACACACTGAGAGTCAGTGAAAAAAAAATTACCATGGTTTTCCTTGTTCTGCATCTTTAGGTCTTATACTGTTTTAGTTCAAAGATCTGAAGGGTGGGAGGGAAGAGTGGGAGAGAAGGCAAAAACAAGCAAGTGCAAACCCAAAAATGATTTTCTGTGTTGGACTGGTCTGTCATGAAAACAACTAGTGATCTAATTCACTCTGTAAATGAAAAACAGTCATTAAGCACGACATTACATACTTGCCCATCATCTGATACCGTGATTTTAAGTAATTGTTAAGATCCTTTTGAACGGAAAAAACCTTACCTCAGTTGTTTTGCATAGTTTTGCTCAATTTCTATCCTTTCTTTCACAAATTTTGCATATTTCTCCAAGAAGTCAATGCCCCACTGTGTATGCTTGTCCAAGTTATCGAACTGATCCTTTAAAAACAAAAGGAAAAAAAATACCTAGAATTAGTTAAGAATCACAGTAGCACCAAAAATTACACGTAATTTACTTATGAGCTGTGCTGTGAGGGAATGCTTGCTACTTGGATAGAATTATCCAAGTTATAAAACAGTCATGTGCCTATATACACATACCAGGCTGTACTGCAAGCACAGATCTACCTCTTTCTGCAAAAACAGCTCTAAATAGTTGCATTTTAAGTTGTAAGCAGTCCTTGACGCAAATAAGTCACAATGCAAATATGTCTTTTTTTCCTCTCAAAATCCTTTATTTCAAAAGTGGATCTCTTCCACCAAGACAACACACATAACCAAAGAGAGGTGGCAGTTTTAAAATGCTGGAAGTTATAATTTCATTGGATACAAAAAACTATTTTCATGATTACCCACTGAAAGAAAAATAATATAAATTACAGTTGCATGACTAAATTGGGTGTAGTCTGCATATCAAAAACATTTATTAAATCAAAACTATATACACAGTTCATGGTCACCTCCAGGAGGAGATTCCAAAGAAAGTGAACCTGTCCTTAGCCATTAAGAAAGTTACAGCAAAGCAAGGGCACAAAACACAGAGAAGAAACAGTTAAAAAAAAAATAAACCACACTTCCAAAAAAAAGTTGTGGAATTTTTAATACATTAAACCTCTTCAAAACCAATCTTTCACTGTATTCTGTATTGATCAACAGGTGGACGATACACTAATCAGGACAAGTTGAAATTAAAAAAGAAAAAAAAAAAGTAGAAATACGGGGATAAAGAATTAAGCAGGAATGAATAAAGGTACAAAATACAGCCTAGTTGACATTTTACTCTAATGCATATTCTCATTTTATACTAAAAAAAACCTACCACAATGGAAAAATCAATGATTTTCTACTTACATCAGCATTTATAATAAATGTTTTTAATAGTTATTTAGTAATCCAAAAAGATAAGCAACTGCAACATCAAAGGTTGTGTCCTATATATGCTGAATCCAAATACACTTCACAGTAAATTTCAAAAATAAAAAGTGGAAAAAGAAAAGCAATAAGGCTCAAAGTTTATTTAACTTACACAAAACACTGTGAGGGTGTTTATCAGAGGCTATGTCTTGAAGATTCAGTAACTTGCCTGAACCTAATGAATGATGTTGACCTTTGGCATTAACAATTTCCGTTCAATTTCAACATGCAGCAGGATGATCTAAAGTTACATCAAAAAATGCCATAAAATGCTGCAGGGCTTAACACTCAAGAAAAAGACATCCACTTAAAGAGATGCCACATCAACACAACTACATACAACCAACAAGAATAAAAATGAAAAGAACATAACAGGATGAAGGCTGCTCTCAAATCTTGCCTTGCAGGTCTCAGTATCCTACACCACAGACTACCAACCACCGCCACTGGTGCCTTGAACACCTCAGCCCCGTGACAATGCAAGTACTGCCAACCAAAAGTATCCATCCTGTTCCACCACAGCCTCTGCTCCAGCCTCTACCACTCGCTCCACCAAAATCACAGCCACCTTCCCTGATCTGTTTGACCAGAGAAACACATAAACACCCAAGAGACAGGAAAGGGGCTAAAGATTTTAGTGTATTATTCTTATGTCTTACTTTACGCCAACTGGACACTTCCACTCTAATCTTTTATAAATAAAGTGATGTTCCTGCTACTGTTTCCAGAAAAGTTATACATGCATTGTTTGAGTGTGTGAAGAAGGAGACAGTTACCGTGCTGCAGTGTCAAAACACAGTTGCAAATATGCGTGAAAATACAGCATCAATCTAAAGAAGAATTTCTTTTTTATATTCCACTCATTTTTGTAATTACTCCAAGATTAACCTAGCATCCAAAAGAAGTTTCTAAAAGGTGCTTCTGGCATGAAGTCAACATCTAATGCCGTTAAGAAGAACTGACTTCCTTCAGCACACAGCAGAACAAAGCCTTTGCTGTCCTACTTAGGCTCTTTAGTGCACAAAGCTCTCATTTGCTGCTAAGGTTTCATTAGCATTACCGAACACCACATTACTTATGTTTCCAAACATGCAACCAGAGAGGGTGGCTTTCCAAATATTTTGTTCAAACAAAAAAGAAGTCTACTGGTGAAAGTTCATTATCTGCTACTATTATGAAACTGGAGTGGAAAAAAGTAACATTTGACATGCTCTTACATGCTATATAAGCAGTATTTCACTACTGACCAAGAGAAAAAAACTCTTTTTTTTTTTTTTCCACCTCAATTCATCTTCTTCATCTGATTCTAAAAACAGTATGCTCTGTGCAAAGACAGCTTTGTAGGATTATCCCATAACTTCACAATTTGTCAATTTATCTATGAACAATAAACCAGTGAATGAAAGTCTGCAGTCACAAAAATCACCTTACACTGCTCTGTAAAGTTAATGAGCAGAAGATAAAGGCAACATCAATGAACAAGCAGAAGGGAATGGTCTTTTCTAAAAGCTTCTAGAGGTGAGTCACAAATTTACTCATGGTCCTTTCAACTTCTCTCCAGAAGCATTCATGTTTGAGCTCTGGGCCTCAGTTAAGCAAAAAGCTTTCTTTTCATACAGGAACACAATCAGCAAATCTTCCAGACTGCTACAAAGGAAATCAAAGTAATGCACTGAGATATAAGACAAGTGATGTCTTCAATGGGGAAAAAAAAAGAAAGGAGCAAAAATCAGGCAATACTGTACAGATGAAAAAACGGACCAAACAATTGCAATAAAAGTTAAGTCTATAATTTCAAAATAAATATATCACTCTATTAATTTAGCTAGCTCCATTACAAGAAATGTGAAAACTGCATTAACTAGAGATGAATAAAAGGCAATTAAAAAAAAAAAAGAGCACATCCTGCAATATCTGGTGATCTACACCTCGATAATGAAGTATGTTCTCTACAATATTTCCAGGCAAATATATATTGCTGTTTGTCTAGTAACTCCCCACACCTCCTAGCAGCTGAGCAGACAATTTTGGTAAAAAAGCTTATTAAAACTGAGGCTGACTATTATTAAACCAGTTAAGGTCAGCGAATGGATGGTGGCCCTAAGCAGGAACTGCCCACTCAAAAGCTGGAATGTAGTCCAAACTGCCTGCATCAAAAAGAATCAAATCTGACACTTGACAAGGAGTTTGTGGTAGGTCAATACAGACTATTCCAAAACAAATGTCACCTCCCTGAATTTTCCTTCCAGATTATTAACTGGAACCACAAATCAATGTTACAAATAGTTCAGGTTCACGGTTCTAAAGTTATCTGCAGATACCAGGAAGCTTTACAGTAACAGCAGCTGAAGCATCAAAGCAAGGAGCCAAGCTGAATCAAATCTGCAAGGAAGACAAAACAGACTCTCCCGGGTTAAACTCCAGATTTGCTCTCCCCCTCTTGCAGACACTTGGGTTTTCCCCAAACAAGCCTCAAGAACCAATAGAAAGAAAAACATGGAGATCTCTTCAAAGGGATAAGCCTGGACGGAATGCTAAGCATAAATACCAAACCTTTAGTCTTCCTAAAGCTGCCGGTAACTACTCCAGACACTGGGCTAGTGTGGGAGGTTCAAATAAAAGGCATTAAACCAGACTGAGATTTTTAAAGGGTTAATGTACCCAGTTTTCATAACTTTGGAAAGCAATTCCACTTGCATTTAAAGCTAGGATTGTGGTATCCCAATCTGTAAAAAATCCTTCTGTTTTACTACATTATGCTTTCACATTAAGTAAACTAGTCTACTGCATCAACATCAAGCTGTTGAACAGTCTCCCAATTTCACTGACCTCCAGACAACACAGCTGAAAAGCTGAATCACATCAAATACAGAAGTACATTGACTTACAAGTTTAAGAAACCTATCTCAATTAATTACATATACAATATCTTGAAAATCTACCTAATAAAACATTTTATTTGAAATCATGATACTTTGCATTAATTATTCTACAATCATGTTAGTCTCCTTTGACTCAAATGTACATCATTATTTCCATACTTTTATCTGACCACAATTTTAGTCAGCATTACCCAAGTGATCTTATTTGTAGCTTTGAGCACTGGCTCAAGATTAGTTTTTTTCCCAATTCTTTGTTCTCCAGGTTGCCCAGCCAGTCTAAACTTCCAAGTCAGTGAGTGGGAGATTAAAAACTCAATCCTGTATTTTGCTCTTTGAATTCTTAACGCTTATGCAGTCTGGTACAAGGAAGTATATACCATGACAGCGTTCAGAGCATGGAAAATCAGGAATCAGGTCTTGTTTTGGGGGAGAAAAAGAAATTAAACCCTTGGCATCAAAAAAGCACCAGTGCATTTATGGATAGAAATGTTGTATTTTATTATCACTTTATGAAAAGCAATGAAGTACTTTCAACTGCAAGTTCACAGTAATCCAAGTGAGAAAATGTAGCTGATTATATAACTTAACACTGATCACAGAAGTTCTTTATTCAATTAAAGCCCATGAGGGTTTATCAAATGAACTTGAATTATGGATAAACTTTAATGGCAGGTTAAATTCTGCATAATGTCCTTCTTTCCTGTATGAGCAATACTGCAGAAGAAAAAAGGACCCAACTCTATTCAAGAAGTTAAATATTTTAAGTTACAAAACATTACGAAGTGACTACTTCACATATTAAGATTTTATAGAACTCTTATGAAATATCCAAATTGTTTCTATGAAACATTATGCAGCTTTTTTTATTTTTTTAAAATAAAGATCAAGGCCTTGAATTAAGTTCAAATGATCCAACATTTTATATGAACGAGGTATCTCCAGATAAGTTCATTTATTTAAAACAAACAAGCAAAAGCAATTAAAAAACCCACCACCTTTGCAGTGTTTGTACAAAGAACTACCTGATGTGCTACACTAAAAATTATGGGAATCATGAACAGACATAAATATATTAATGAGAAGTTCCCAGTAGAGTGTAGTGTACCCTTCCCTATTTGTCTCCAGGACAAGTTAATTATAAAA